GCAGTCAGACTAAGCTAAGCTAAGCTAAGCTAAGCATTTCAAAGTGCCATACATTCCTACTTAGTAATCCGGCTTTTTGGTATTTTAAAAACCTTTTATAGTCTGGCAAGAAAGTCAAAAACTTCTTCTTCTTGTTCGAGTTTCAAGCTTACTGCTTAGCGCATATTAGCTTATTGCGTACTCTCAACTTAGTGTTCTAAATGCACTTCCACAGTTATTAATTGAGAGCTTTAGATGCCAATACCAATGCATGAATTTGTATATTGTGTGACAAGCACAATGATACTCTATGCCCATGGAAGTCGAGAAAATTTCCAACCCAAAAGATTCCCTCGACCGGACCGGGAATCGAACCCGCCGCCTCCGGCTTGGTAATACCGTGCCTTTACTGACTAAGCTATGAGTCAAAAACTGTCATGTTTTAAAAATATATTTGAAACAGTTCTCAATTCCCACGGAGGGGCGACCCCGGCGTAGTGGTTAGCATCCATACAACTCACGCCAAAGTCACGAGTTCAAATCTCACCCCCAGACAAGTCACGAATGACCCAAGAGCGTTAAAGTAACTATAATTTAAAAAAAAAAAGTTTTCAATTCCTCCTTAAAACTGTTCTGTAATTCAAGCATAAACTTCATTAGCAATTGTTCATTAATGCCTTGATAAAAAAACTTTAAAAACGTGTTCTATCATTATAAAAGCAACCATAAAACCATTAGGTTTTGCATTAGGGCAAAAAGCATTTATTGTTGCTTTTTAGGCTTTTTAAAATGCATCATAAACTTCCCAATTATTCTGTTTACAAACTGAGCTTAAAAGATGGCACCTCATAGTTAATAAAAGCCAAATTTATGATAAGGAAATCTCTATAGACGAAGTAGGATAAAAAATTCTAGTCAATTTCAGCAAAATTTACTTTTTTTTGAAGAACCGACGACTGACCATCTGGTGGAGAAGAGTAAAGTGAGGGTGGCCCTCAAATTCATAAAATATTGTCGAAAGTTTGAAACCATACCAGCCTTCTCCAGATCTTGCGAATAAATGACAATCGAAATAACAACCGACAGCAAACCACTGAAACTGTTAGTTAGCGAAGATTAGGTGGATTCCGATCCAGAGCAGCGATTTAATTCGGCGAAGAATCAACTCTTCAAAATTTAATTCAAGCATACATCCCTGCATCGTTGGATGGTGTACTTCTGTAACCATCCGGAAGAAGGGGATCTTTTTCGGGAACGATTGCGCTTTCAGCTGTTCGAAATGTTAAATGTTGTAAAACAGTATCGCAAACTATCTGAGTAACTGCTCTCAATCCATCGGAAGAAAACTACCTGGAAGAACCCTGGATCCCACAGCGCAACTATCGAAAGATAAACAAACTTTGACGTTTAGCTTTTTGCAGGCAACTTTGCCTCCATAAATGCTGCCATAAATCTGAACGGGTTAGGACGGAGATGAACACATCTCCTAAATAAAGAAAGAAAAATATGAATGGGTTAGGATCAAGCAAAATGGCTTTAGATGAATACAATTCAGCCTGTAAGTTTTCTTCATAAAAGCCATTTTAAAACCTTATGAATTTGTTAAGGATTTCTTGAAAGCAACACAAATTTTTCACAAATGACCCATGGAAATCAACTTTTATGCCACGAATAAACCTCGTTGACAGCAATATATATAGGTGCAGAACCGGTTATGATGACATCGATCACGCAGTTTGGTATTGCCCGGGTAATGACGCCTCCAGAGCACGACTATTGGATACCCTAGTGGCCCGAGGTAGACAACCCTTCCGTGAAGTAAGAGATGTATTGGGAATACGTGATCTTCCCTACATGCAAGCGATCTACGAATTCCTTAGTTTGTCTGATGTTAGCGTTTGATGTGACCATCCCCTCCTTTCCAAACAATTTCCAGCCATTGTGTCCCAGTCTTATTATCCTCCTGTTCCTGTGCTACTTGCCCCTGCCCAGCCAGGATTTGGTCAACCGTCCGAGAGTAGTATCTGAAGGAGGTTTCAGAAACCAGTTTCCTAATTTAAAAATATATTATATATATAATATATAAAAAATAATTAGTCAAATTGACGCTTTACGAGGGCGGACTTATTTTTTTCGATGTTTTCACGTACATTTCACATAAAATTCCATAAGGCACTTAAAACTAGGCCACTTAATTAGAACTATTGTAATAAATTTGGATATTCAACAAGATTGTTATACCATCAGTTTCTATTTTAATTATTTTGATAAGATCGGATTCAAAATCCTTTTCTATCTTAATTGAGGCTTTTCGAGTGGATTTAGCAAGCGGCTAGGGGAAATGGCTCGGAAAGGGTTTTTATTGTAGCTAAATAGCTTTTAGTGTAGCTTTCAAATGGTTCTTAATGCGTTCGTCATACAAACTTTTGCAGTAAATCAATCTTGAAGAGCTTCGAGAATACACCCTTCAGAACCTTCTACAGGGTGGGCCAACTAGACATATTTTAGTCTTAATGAGGTTTTGGTGGATGCCAAAATAGCCTTGACCAGGGTTTTATAAATGTTGTTTTATAGCTGCTTTGTAGTATTTTATAAAGCTCATAATGTTACTTGGGATTATTATCTTTCATATGACAACCGTCACTAAACATTAAATGCTTTGCTGAAAAACAGTAGTCATTATTAGAAACAGTGTTGGGAAAATATCAAAAAATCAAATCTCACCAACGCCCAAGATCACGCTTGATTTTCGTAGACAAAAATCAACAAGCAAACATCTGCGGTTGATTTTGCAAGCTGTGATATCGCAGCTCGGAATATCAAACTAACAAAACTCACCAACTGCAAATCTCACCAAACTGTGGTGAGATTGAGTTTGATGATTTTTGCTTTACACCCGAATGCAACCGAAACTTCCATAACGGCTTGCAGCAGTCCCTTCGCGTCTGCCATCGGTGAAGATTAAAAAGAGATAGCAAACTATACTTTCTCTTTGTAAGAAAACTATGTGCAACGGAATCATTTTTGTGTCGAGTCAACTCTCCACTTGATTTTTGCACGTTGTGAATAGTCTCGCAATATCAAAGGAGCTTGTAAAATCAATATCAAGCATGATATTTTGTTCCAATATCTCGCGTGAGATATTGGAACAAAATTTGAGAGCATATGAGAGCGGAAAAATATCAATTGATTTCTGATTTTGACAACACTGATTAGAAATATATAAATTCGTTATTTTATTCGGTTTTATTTAGGTGTGCTTCTTGCAAGGGATAATTTTTTTTTCCACTAGAAGCACATTAATTGTTTTTTTTTATAGATGTTTCTTTTTGCCTCTCTCATTTGATATAAGTATTTAACATTAATTCTCATAATGTGTGTGAGAGAGAGATGGATTAGTAATTTCCATTTAATTCCACTACCTTATTTGCTTATCCTTGACAGATACGCGTATTCCGTCTACAATGTGCAGACTTCTTCAGTGTCTTGTACTAATACTCGACGCCCACATGGATTAATTCTCAACCATATATCCTTTTCAGTAATTATTTTTGCAAATGGTTGATTTCACGGAGCTCAGCATTCAGTCGAGGTTTTTGGTGTGGGGGAGATCGGAGGGTCACTCAAAAAAATAAAACAGAACGAATGAACCCAAATCCAACTTCACACGTCAAATCCAATCAAACGCAAAAGAAAAAAAAAAAAAAAACCAGGGCGATATTGAAATTGGTTATTTCGGTTGAGTCCAAATTAAACAAACCGCAGCTGTTCTATTGACAAACTATCTCCGATCAATATCTGCTAAGCGTTTAAATAAATTGCATCCCCAAACCTGTACCCGATTGATTCGCTCCGATTAGGCTCGAAGCGCAACAGAGAGCTGGATAGGAAAAGCAAATAAAAAAGAAATCGAACTAATCAACCCACTTGCCACCGAAAAACCACACGCTGCTCCTCGTCCAGCAATCGAGGATCCCGCCTATGTACAAAGCCATGCCTGCTTGCATGCATATATGTGTAGTGCCGTGCGAACTCACCGCAAACTAAACCGCACCGCTCGTTCATACATAGGCCATATGTATATCCATTGCATAATTACACCCCACAGAGAACGAGCCAGCAAGCAATCAAGACCCCCATATTGCATCGAGGAAAAAGCTCCAAGCGACCGTCGTCGACGACGACGACTACTGCTCCTATTCTTTTTTAGGTCACACACAATCCGGCACCCTCCTCGTCGTCGTCGTCGTCGTCGTGATGCAGCAGCACACCAAAATCCTTGAAAGAACACCACCACCCACGACCCACCGCTCCGGAATGCGTCCGAGTAAAGCGAGCGAACATATCAACGAAGAGGGTGGATTTATGCTGCCCCTTGTCGACAGTGAGGTGGGATTATGGGAACAGAGTTTGTTACGGTGAGCTCTCAGAGCGTGCTGCTGGGTGGCAGGTGCATTTTTTCGCGACTATTCTCGGGAGAGCGAGCGGAAGAGAGCTTGGTGATAAACAGATGCACTGAGCAGCGAAAAGCGCACATGTCTGCTCTGATGAACGGGTCGCAGCACTGAGAGGGCTCCCGGGATGATGTTTCGATGGGGGGAGAGAGTGAGCATAGAGCGAGCATACACCACTACAAGGATGGTTTGTTATTGTAGACGGCGAGCAAGAGAGGGAGTAAAACGTTTTTCATAATTTTTATTATCGATCGGCGTGCTGTCTATGGACCACGGGTTACGAACATAGTGTTGGTGTTTTCTAGGGAGTTTATGGAGATGACAGACACACCAATACGGGCGTGCTGGGCCCCGTCAAAACACAGGACCTCGCTACTGGGTGGGTATTGGTGTTGTCATGGTTCTGCACTGGCTGGTTGGGTGTTGGAGCTCGTCCGTCGAGGTTCCCGGTTCGGTGTGTTGGTGTGAATTGCGAGCGCCGGATAGGTGAGTGAGTGAGCGATTAGACCGAGCAAAAGATGTTCCAAAGTCTGTGCAGCCGAGACTGTGTGGTCTTTCAGTAATAGCTCGACCTAGCTAGCTGGCTGATGGACAGTAGTAGCTACTCCCCGTAGTACGTGATACGCGTTTCGTCGTTACGGTTCAGCTCTAAGGAGTGAAGAAGTGAAGTGTAGGAGAGTTTGCGTTTGGAAATCTGTAGGCAGGAAAAGTGTATTTTCTCCAGTGATTTTCTTATCGTAGATTTCGATCAAATCTTGAGCTTATCGAGGCTGGACAGCTCGCGGAGTTGTCAGCTGAAGTGAGTGATGTAGTGCACAGTTGACGTTCTCGGAGATTTCTTTAAGGACAACTCGACTGGTTGTCCTAGGAATTTGGTGTGTATCGTTCAATTAGAGGGATATTGAGCTCTTGATGTGACCGAAGAGCTCTTCGAGCGGTAGGGAGCTAAAGTGTGAGGTGCTCGCTGTGGAATCGCCCAGCTTCACGCAGGGGCTCGGATCTCGCTGCAGACTGGAGAAAATCAATCGACGAACAGTGCACACCTGGGCATACATTGGGTGTCTGGAAGTGACATTTTTGCTCGACATTCGTATGGTACGGGTTCTCCGAGAGCTACATATGTGTGTGCAGTGAGCTGTGTGTTGTATGTAGTGAAGGTGCTCCCCTTGGAAAGTTGCAAACCGCGAGGTGAAAGAAGAAAACCAACAACATAACACTATTGTGACTGATAAGTCAACTCTTCTAAAGGGATCCCAAATTTTCTAAGTGAGACCAGGCTCCAGCATCGATAACTAATAGCCCGATCCCGCCGAACAAGTGACCAGTTTTGACACCCCGTGAATGGAGTTATATGTATACAAATATTTAGACATAAAATAAGCACAAATATGCAAAAGTGAAGAGTATTTTTTTTTCTCGTCGCTATTCCGCTGACTGTGGCTCCGATATCTCTACATATACACACGCCTAGGTTGACTACGGTACGTCACACAACGAGAAGCAGCACAAGAAGTGGCAAAAAAGAAGTCCCACGGACAGACTGCGAGTGAGAGACCTTTTTCTCGTCGTGCTCTCGCTCCGTCCATCGCAGCAACCTGGGTTTGTTTTGTGGTGTATATTCCTATAGCAAGACGAGCAACTTGTGAGCTAATCGTGTATTGCACCTGGTACGTCGTGCGGGATCATTGGAATCCCCGTGTGCTTTAAAGGGGTTGCAGATTGCTATGAATCCCGGAATCTGCCAAGTGACACCCTCAACCTAGTGCAGTGAGTGTTTTACTTCGAAGGTAAATATCTGGACGGAACAAAGCTTGTTAAGTCTCAGTGATAAGTGGAGTTTCCAATTGTTTTTAAATTTTCTTTGCTCGGGTGAGCTGGTGTGGAGATGGAAGAAAGTGGCCTCGAGCGTGCATCGAGAAGGAAAGTGATAATAATAAAAAATGATATGCTAATCAGCCCTGGTTTGTCGGTCCGTTGGATAACCTGTCAAAACGCGTGCTTCAGAAAATTTGAAGAATGCTGAACAGCTGGATTATCATGTTTTTGAGAAAAGTGAAAACGGTCAGTGCAGCAAACAAGCCCTAAACTGTGTCACCGCGCGACGCCATGCCAAAGTCGTTTAGATCTCCGGAATCCTGACGGCGTCTCGCCGCCTGCCTAGATGGATGGTTCATGTACATGGTGGTTCGGTGCCAATTATGATTGAGAAAGTTGGCTTTGCCATCGTAGCAGCGTAGGAGGCACTGATGGTTGCCATGGTATTGTTCGCTCTTTCTCCTATATTCAATAGACCCTCTTGGTGGTCTCCAAGAGTGTGATCCATATACACATTACACAACACGAGCGTTGTTTCATCGGAGGTACTTGAGAGGAAGACGTCCCTTACCCCGTTGGACACCTTCGGCGCATCATACTTCCCCAGAACATGTCACACACAGCAAGCGACGAAGGAAGTGGAGAACAGGAATGTTGCGATGTTTAGTAAAGTGAATTTTCCCTTACGTTTCCTCCTCCTTCGCCGTCGCCGTCACCTACTTTGCGCAGCTCATCCGTCAAGAGCATTTTTCCTCATCCGAACCCAAAGAGAAGTGAAAGAGTTTACGGTTCTTGACATTGGGAAATCGGAATCGGTGTGTGCGGTTTTCTGTCTGTGGCTGATGATGAATGAGTATGCTGCTGTTGCTTGTTTTCCGAAGGCTGTTGGAAATGTTTCACAATTTTAATAAATTTTGGCACGTCAGGGAGATAAAAACATACACAAAACACAGCTTCAGGGGTAGGCGACAAACAGTCAGGCCGGAAATGAGGGGGTTGGAAAATTATATTGATTTTTTTTTTATGGAGTGGAAAGATATTTCGAAGGCATACATTAATGGGTGTACAGCATTCGCGAGTTTTTGCGATGACATAATGGCGCGGAATAATGGCTAATTTAAGCAGCAGTTTTATGACCTTGCCGATTTCCCGGTGGTGAGCATGAGTGAGTTAGTGAGCGTGAGGGGATGAGTTCCGAAGAAATGGCTGTACGGAACAGGATGTTGGAAACGGAAACTGTGTGCCAAAGGTAGCTAGGAAAATTGGATTCTGATTTATTGATTATATTTGATTTGGTGATTTGATTTAGATAACCTTGTTTCGGGTTGGTGGTTGAGTTTGAGTACAATTGTGCTGGTGTGAGTGCGATGAGTGATGCGGGACTCTGCTCGTTTTTGATAACGGTGTTCGTTGAGAGGCTTGAGTCAAGTCTATAATTTAAATTTTGCGTTAAGGAAAGTGTGAAATAGAACGATAGCTGGGACTGTTTAGTATCAAAATTATCCCATTCATTCCAATTAGTGCACAACATAACTGGCATTGCAAATCTCAGTTCATGAGTTGCTTTTGACTGGTTGATATTTTTGTTTCACAATTCTTGATTTATGATCTTCCTTGCCATGGCTTTTTAACTACGTAAATCGTTTTTATAGGTTTTTGATGCTTTACCTCATCCATTGACGTAGACATTTTTTTTTTATTTGTGAGGACCGTAGACCTCTCAAAGTGTCAACTTCATCTTTATCTTTGCATTTCAAGCTTATTGCTTATTGCATATTAGCTTATTGCGTGCTCTCAAATTAGTGTTCTAGATGCACTTCCACAGTTATTAATTGAGAGCTTTCGATGCCTGTACCATATTTTCATAAGTATAAGTAATTGTGTGGCAAGTGCTATGCCCAGAGAAGTCGAGAAACTTTCCAACCCGAAAAAATTCCAGACCGGACCGGGAATCGAACCCAGCCACCTCTAGCATAGTCTTGATTTGTAGCTGAGCCTTTCCCGATTGTGCTAAGGGAGCTTTGACAATGAGTGATTTTATGATCGCTTCTTCGCGAATAGTGAAGAGCGAAGAATAGGTGAGATAAATGACAGGCTACCTTACCTTACTGGAAGCGGTGGGTTCCATTTCCGTTCCAGTCTATTATTGACGTAGCTATTAAGAGTGCCTTGAAACTCTTATGAATTATGCAACCCCAAAGTTTTTGATCAGTTGGTTAGAAACTTCGATTTTTTTTCGGAGTGATTGAAATTTATTCAGATTAAATGTACCTTTAAGATTTAGCGCGTAAAATGTTCTTACCGCCTCACACCTTTACGTTGAAACAATGTTAATTGATGCAAAAATAATGCATCATTCGTTGTCACCTCAATCAAATGTGGTGAATTTTCAGTGTTTCCTATAGCAAAAATTAGCAAGCTGAGAAAATCGCATTTTAAGTTTGGTTCGTACCATTCCTTCTTATGTGATGGGACAACCAATTTTTCTGTCTTTCCGAATTCTTTCAGAACAAAGTTGTTGAGTTCATCCAGTATTATGGAATTATGGGTGTTTAGCTATCATTTGCATTAGAAAACTCAGTTTTGACAAAAAAAAAAAAAAATAATACTAAACGACCGCCATGCGAAGAGCGACAGGACAATTCTTTGCCATTCGCTCATTCCAACATTCCGTCGTTCAAATGTTTAACATGTTAACATAACTATGTGACTTTTTGAATAACACAGAAATATGGGCACAGTTTGATCCGACAATAGGGGACTTAATTGGGCAGCCAATATGACTTCCTGGTTTTTAAAAAGCAATAATAAGTGTGGAAACAGACTCATGAACTAATGCTTTACTGAAAGCTATATTTGCTACAGTGTCCAAGGCATAATCGGGAACACTCGGTATCTAATGTAGTGACAAGGTTTGTCGATCTAATTACTCTTCTTCAATGATCCTAAGCAGTGTTGGGAAAATATCAAAAAATCAAATCTCACCAACGCCCAAGATCACGCTTGATTTTCGAAGACAAAAATCAACAAGCAAACAACTGCTGTTGATTTTGCAAGCTGTGATATCGCAGCTCGGAATATCAAGCTAACAAAACTCACCAACTGCAAATCTCACCAAACTGTGGTGAGATTGAGTTTGATGATTTTTGCTTTACTCCCGAATGCAACCGAAACTTCCATAACGGCTTGCAGCAGTCCCTTCGCGTCTGCCATCGGTGAAGATTAAAAAGAGATAGCAAACTATGCTTTCTCTTTCTAAGAAAACGATATGCAATGGAATCATTTTTGTGTCGAGTCAACTCTCAGCTTGATTTTTGCTCGTTGTGGATAGTCTCGCAATATCAAAGGAGCTTATAAAATCAATGTCAAGCATGATATTTTGTTCCAATATCACGCGTGATATTGCGAGCGCATGAGACCGGAAAAATATCAATTGATTTCTGATTTTGCCAACACTGATCCCAAGTACGTGGCCAGTGGTCATGATCTTCAAGCTTTATATATGTGAACCCCGTGATTAATTTCATAACTTCTGATGATTCACGGAATAGTGGTTACGAAGTGTACAGCATTAAAAATGATTCAATCACGCTTACCACTACACCACCGGAGTCGCCATCCAAAAGAGTTTTTAGTTTGAAAAGAATTCATGGGATGTGTGAGGAAGTATGGAGAATTCGTTGTGAGTTTAATACCAAGTCAAGGAGGAGCATTGAAAGGGAATCATGAAAAGATTTCTATGAGAAATCTAAGGAACATTTCAATTCTTATCAGTATTCTAAAGAAATTCTGAGGAGAATATGATAGGAATTGCCAGGAAAATTTAGAGGGAATTTAATTCCGAGGAAAATCCTGATGAATTTTGGTGTCTTTATAGTGAAACAAGTCTAAGACACTGAAGAAATTTGCACATCTAGGGGAAATGCATGTAATGTCGGCCTAAATGCCCCTAATTTGGGCCCATACATAAACTCAGCAATTGACTAAATTTTCAATAGCGACCAAAAATATTCATTAGTACCGTCCCAATGATGCGTTCATCTAGATAAAATTGATAAATAGCAGATTTTTAGCGATGGCCCCAATCTTAGATCCATAGGCCAACATTAGAGCCATCTTCCCTATATATAACAATTAATTTCTGTCTGTCTGTCTGTCTGTCTGTCTGACTCTTATAGACCTGGAAACTACTGAACCGATCGGCTTGAAAATTTGTATGCAGGGGTTTTTGGAGCCGGGAAAGATGGTTCAGATGGGGGGCTCCCATACAAATGAAACAGAAAAATATAGCATGCTTTTTTAAATCGGTGTTGGGTTAACAATTAGATCCCGAGCAAGGCCGGGCACACTTAGCTAGTTGTATATAAAATACGCGTATCTGTTAGGGATAAGCAATTAAGGTAATGGAATTAAATGTAGGTATGTTAATAATCCTTCTTTTTTTTTATCAATTTCGAGGATAGTTTGAATATAGTTTTGTGAAAAAATTTCATATAAATACTTAAGACAGTTTCAAGGGAATTCGTGCGTATTCCAAGGAAGTTCTGTGGAGCATTTCTATGAATTTACGAGACAACTGCATGATAATTCAGAAGGAATTTCAAGAATAATTCCATGAGCATTTCGGGAAAATGCTTACCGTATTTTCAGGAGAATTCTTTGAGGGAATCCTAGGTTATACTGCAAAAGTTAATACGAATGTGAAGTGAACTGCAGAGTGAATTCGAAGAGTGTTCTGCAACCAGATGTAGTTAGAAGATGAACTCAGTGGAAGTTCTGAGATGTTTTTAAAGAAATTCTCGAGAAAATTCTTTAGATACTCTCTCAAGAGTTCCAATGGTATCAAGATAATTCAAACAAAAATTAATTTTCGAACTCCTGGACACAGAAAAAGATTCCGGAAAAAGTAAGAGTTTTTAAGAAAAATTGTCAAGATTCAGCGAATAGTTTCGACATTTGGGACTTTCTATAA